TGGTTCGGTATCGCGGGTCACACCCCGGCTTGCCCACGCGCCTCCCACTACACTACGATATTCTTGCGGAGACCTCACATGAGATGTAGCGGATTTTACTTAGTATTTTTTTTAAATAATATAATTTCAATATTATGAAATTCACATAGGCTGTAACATCACAGAGTAATACAATACCATCAATCTCTAATTTTATAAATGACCCCTTTGAAAACAAAATTCCTGTTATGTGTTACCATAGTTTGTTTGTTGCGGCGCTTCTTCTCAGCACTTGCCAAATGTTGGTCTCGAAGCGCTGGTAGGGTAAAAAGATTATGAGACATGTAGAGGCTCCTTAAGAGCAAAATATTTGACGATTTGTAAGAACTATTTAATAGTCTATACAAATAAAGAAATTTTGACTTTGACTTTGACTATAGGGGTCACTTAAAAATTAGGGATTAATGGTGAAAACGGGCATAAGTTACCCAGTGGTCAATGCTTCCGTCCTGAATATCCTGTGCGGAAAATCTTACAAATAAAATACCTATGATACTTAGTAGCTATAATACGAGTAAGTATTACGGTTATGCATTGCTTCTACTTAAAAGCTGGTAAAATTGGTATCGTAATGTGCTAATGCATGTCAATGGGTAATTTATAATCAATGTTCCGCCACGCAATCATTGTGCATGTGCATTTTTATGCACATATTAAGTAATTGATTTAACTTAGGGTAAGTCCAGGATAGATGCCCCACTTTTTGAAACAGCTCTGTAACTCAGTCAGTAAGTTTTTATCAACAATTTGATCTTAGTATCTGTAAACTTTGGTCTTTCGTCTATGATATTACTATAATTATTTTAGTTTAAGTTATACCGATTCTGAGTAAATAGCATTTTAATTGACCTCTAAAAAGTGGGATAGACGCCTAATGTGGGGGATAGAAGACTCACTGTATGATTGCTTCAAAGGATAGATGCCTGATGCAGGGATAGATGACTCGTTAATACAGTTTTTGAATTCTAAGGATCAAATGCTTTTTGAAATCAAACAAGCCAAGTACTATTATTTAAGATTGTTTGTTATTAAATGAATTAAATATGAAATTTAATATTTTTTATTAAAAATAGTACATAGTACATCCACCCGAAGTCGGGAAAAGAGGTAATTCGATCAGAAGGGCACCCTATTTATTACTTTCCTAAGGTTAGCCGTACTACATTCTTTTTTTCTTCTCACTTGCTACTTGTGACAAAAAGAGCAGGTTAGGATAGATGCCCCTAAGAGCATGGGACATGGCCCTAAGGGCATCTATACCCAAAAAAAATTAGGCAACTATCCTTTTAGCATAGGATAGGTGCCTTTTTTAATAAAAAATATAATAACACTAAAAATCGAATTAAACATAGCTATCCCGTCTAATTTATAAGATAGTCTATCAAATTATATAAAAATCTGCTTCATTTTACAGCTGACAAAAAAATTATCCATTAAAAGATACTTACCAATTTTATTTCGACGCTCGCTAAGGTTTGGCCGCGGAAGATTTTTGCTCTCACTGGCTAAACGAACGCACTCTTTGATGGTTTGCGAGGCGAAAAGTGGTACGGGGAGGTCCCTTTCTATTATACATACTATAATTTTATGCTAAGTTGCTTGTAACATAGTGTACTTAAAATCGCGGCACCTATCCCACTGGGGCATGTATCCTGGAATTACCCTATTGGTGCTGATGTCCTCATTAATTAGATCGGAATTTATATTGCAGAATTTATGAATTAGCGTTGCCACTATCCCATGCACCTAGGTAGTTACCTGAAAAAATCATAATCCGATATAACCAAACTAAACTTTTGTAAGTTATTCTTGTGAACGCTACAATGTAACCTTGTTGGTGATCAAATAAATAAATTATCCTATCTAACAAGTAGGTAAAAAAGGGTTTTTTCTCTCAGTTTAAGTAAATCTTAGTCTCATCCTTTCCACTAAGACGTAATTAAGGCTCCACAGAATGCCAATGACCACGATACGGCTCTTTTCACCCAACGACCTCACAGTCTTTCAATCTTGCTACTGTAGCTATCTTTAGATCAGTCCATCAAACCCCCGTTCCATTTAGTTTTATTTATTTTTAGTGTCATTATTTGCTCGCTATAAGTTTTAAAATCGCTAACGCGTTTATTCAGCCATTCCAACATACGTAACTATGTCCTGGGGGTGTCGATACAGCGATATCGCAGCATGAACTCTCGCATTATTTATAGTGAGATACTGTGAATACTGTGAATCGCTTGCATGCTTCTTAAACGCTGCCATCACGTGCCACTTAAGTAAAACAATGATCTTCCCTTATCAAAGTTTGGCTTCGGGGACCGATCTTGTAAACACGGATCTAGGGTAAAAGTACCTACCTACCTACCTACCTTTAACAATTTGAAAGCCACGATAGCCGAACGGTGAAGCGGTCGGACTGGCCGACTCGAGATCCGAGGAACGCTATTGCGGGGAGTCCACTCGTAACACAAGCGTATTTAGCTTACCACGAGGGGCTAACGGGACTATTAGTAATTTGTGCAATACAAATTATTAATAATATTTAAAAAACAACAAAAGTGTATCCCAAAGCAATATTTCATATTCTAATCACAGAATTGCCAAACGTAACTGGCAGTGGGCGGGGCACATAGTCTGGGCCGTTGGGCAGAAAAGTTCTCGAGGACCTGAAAGCGTAGTGTGAGCAGGCGATTAGTGAAAGTCGCGGGAAACACCTGGATGCGGACAGCGCAGAACCGGTCTTTGGTTTTTCTGGAAATCTTTGGCGGAAACCTGTGTATTTGAGCCTGGTATTTGGCTAAAACGAACGAAAATAATATTCTAATAGTTTCAATAACTGAAACCACATGTTTTTATGTCTTTCAGCACGTTTTATGAGACCGATAGGTACTCACTACATAATGTCACTTAGTGGTCATTTTTAATTGTTATTCTGAGTCATTGTTTCAGTGCATAGGCACTCATGTTACCGCCAGCAGTAAATGATAGCATAAACATATGATAATGTTGTGTGAACTAAATATTGTAGTGCGCAATAGCGAAACTGCTAGATTAGTTTTGAAACTAATCGAAAGTGAAGTGCTTGGTAAAGTGGGAAAAATAATGACAAAATCGCTTAAGTTTTGGTATCCACTCAATAGGCAATAACTTAATCTAACACAACCTAATTTTAATCAGATCAAGAATCTTCAAAGATCTAAGGCTATGTTAATATATGAGGCAATAGATATCCTAACGACAGCGTAAATTATGATGTTCAGAATAATATTGCTTTTTATTTATATCTGTCACATTTTGTGTGGTTTGCAAATGTGCAACAGAAGTTATTAAGACTAGAGTTTCAATACATGTATAGATATAAAATAGTAAACATAATATATTATATTAACCATAAACTCTAGAGTACTAACAACCACCACAATGGCGTCCAATAAACCGCTTGCTTTATAGAAGGTCGTTGCAGTGAAATAAACTGCATACCTTATTAATGCAGTTGTGGTTGGGTGTAGTACGGATGAACAGTGCTTTAACTAAAACCCTCAGATGAGTCTCAAACATGCGGCTGTATTCAGAGAAAAATCTGGTAACAATAAATGTTTTCAGATGCCATCTATTGAAGAAGGGATGGATTCACACGCGATGTATATGCGGTATAAGAGAACTCTGGGGGTTTTGGTGGGGAGCCTGCCCACACTACGTCTTCTGTCCCGTGGTAGGTGGACCGACGATCTGGTGAAGGTCGCAGGAGGTGCCTGGATGCGGGCGGCGCAGGCCCGGTCCTTGTGGAAATCCTTGGGGAGGTCTTTGTCCAGCAGTTAATGTCATTTGGCTGGAACGACGATGGGACTATTAACAACTTATAATTGACACCATCCTTGTCGGTAACAAAGAGTCTACGCTTGCGCAGCCCCAAACTCTTTGCCCCAATAACCAATTCATTTGTCCGGTTAATCCTAGCCGGTATCATGATGACTGATGTCCATCACCGTCTATCATAAACACGGTATGTATGCAGATTATCATTCAAATTATATTCAACGTCCAATCCACTGGATAAGATTAGTTATCGTTTGCATATCATTGTCTTTTTTGCGAAAACATGACAAAACCGGATCTCTCTCGATCGAGGTACCTAATATGGCACATTTTACAAATCACTTTGTATCTTTCTAAGTTTATCTAGAATTCTTCTAGGCTATATTCAACGCATATTTTATAATAGTTATTAACAGGAATATTGTACGTTTTGGCTGTTTTAGGTAACAAACAAGTATTTTACTTCCATGGAACTAAAACTAAACTAAAAACAAATCTAGTAGTCCCTTAATGCAAGGGTTCCCAAACTTATTTGAGACGCGCCCCCTTTCGACCACACAAAAAATTCCGCGCCCTCCTCCTCCAGTCAAGATTATTTATTGGTCGTATCGAGCAGTCTAGAATGCATTCTCTCAGCGGTCGCAGGTTTTTATAGGTACTTAAGTGAGTACACACACATCTGTGCGGGCCATCTGGCCCGCGCCCCCTTTAAGGTCTTTGCGCCTGCCCTGGGGGGCGCGCCCCCCCACTTTAGGAACCAATGCCTTAAGGAACTAGAGAATGGAACTACCAGGATCTGGGGAGATCTCTGTGGTCGAGATTTCGAGTGAAGCTCGCTTCTTTCGTCGTGGTTATTAACGTAAGTGCGCCTATTAACGACNCCCCGCCTCCAAAACTGGTTCACGCGCCATTCGCTCGCGCTCCATTTGTATCTGGCTCTAATAATAGTATGAATACCAACCTCTTCAAACCTAAGCTCCTTCCTGGCTTCCTTGATGTATCCCCTTATAATATTCATCTGCTCCAACAAGGGGTCGTGTTGGTTGTTGTCTGCGCCTGAGCTAGGCCCCGCCTCCAAAACTGGTTCACGCTCCATTTGTATCTATCAGTAATTTAATACCAACCTCTTCAAACCTAAGCTCCTTCCTGGCTTCTTTAATATATCCTCTGATGATATTCATCTGCTCCAACAAGGGGTCGTCATCATCGTGTTGGTTGTTATCAGCGCCCGAGCTAGGCCCCGCCTCCAAAACTGGTTCACGCGTCATTCGCTCACGCTCCACCTGTATCTGGTACTAACTTACTCAAGAGTGAATACCAACCTCTTCAAACCTAAGCTCCTTCCTGGCTTCCTTGATGTATCCTCTGATAATATTCATCTGCTCCAACAAGGGATCATCGTCGTCGTGTTGGTTGTTATCCGCCCCCGAGCTAGGTCCCGCCTCCAAAACTGGTTCACGCGCCATTCGCTCGCGCTCCATTTGTATCTGCCGCTCGGCTCTCTCGTAGCGCTGACGGCGGACTTGCTCCACTTGGGCTTCGGTTGGAAGCTTGCGGAGGGAAAGGAGCTCCTCCTAAAAATAGGATATTAGATTAGAATCTAAATCATATCGATGATTAAGAGCAAGGTATAGTAGGCACACATCCTGCTCGATAGAAAGATGATTTCAAGAAAATTGTTAGCAGTAGCTAGATGTCAATTGCGGGAGAATCTTTATGCCACGTTTTGCGGGAAGCACATTTGTAGCAGTGGACTACTTATCCACATTTAAACAGTTTTATTTAATTAATGCGTAAGTATTTCCCTTGATTGTGGCCCCACTTGAAAAAGCCTCCTCCATCATTTTCCATCTTGCGACAGGGAAAGATGACTATTATTGGCTGTCCTTGTGACTATCCAAAAAAGCACCGAAGTATACGCGAATACTCGGCTACACACATTGCGATAGAGCGAATCATCGGGCTATTGCGGTACGTGGCCCCGGGGATAAGAAGAACCTTCAGAACGAATGATTGGCGTATTTATTCCGGCGTATTATTTGCAGTTTGTTTTTTATTGTGATATGAGGCAAACGAGCAGACGGATCACCTGATGGTAAGTGATTACCGTCGCCCATAGACACCGGCAGTCTCAGGGGCGTTACAGGTGCGTTGCCGGCCTTTAAGGTGAAGATACACTCTCTTTTTGTAGTGGTTTGGAAACGGACTACTATGCCGAGAGGTCCCGGGTTCGATTCCCGGCCGGGCAGAAATTGAAATTATGAATTTTAATTTCTGCGACGGGTCTGGGTGTTACTATGTATAATATGTATGTATTTACAAAAAAAAAGTATTTAAGTATGTTTATATCCGTTGCCTAGTACCCATAGTACAAGCTTTGCTTAGTTTGGGACTAGAAGCGTAGTGTAAAATGTCCAAGGATATTTATTTATTTATTTATTATATTTTGAAAGCTTGCAGATCGTATCCATCCGGAAACACCGCAGACGACAGTCCATTCCACAGTTTGGTTGTATGGGGCAGGAAGTTTCTAGAGAAACGTACTGTTGAGACTGGAGAGTCATACAAAGTACATACCTTAATATAGTGAGCTGCCGCCTGCCTAATAGAGTTTTGCAACCGCGCCTGGCGGGTGGCGGGGGCGGCGGGGTGGGCGGCGATCTGCTTGCTCAGCAGGTCAATGCCCTCGGCCAGCTTGCCGATGCGCCCGCGCATCGCGTTGACGTCCGTCAGGTTGTACGTCGTCTCGCCGTCGAAGAGGCTTTGACACATCTGGAAGAATGGACTGGTTTGTAAATATGGCTAACATTCTTACTGGATGAAAGTTATGATAAAAATTATAGAGGTACCAACTTTTACAATCATATACCATTACTAAGGGCACAGAATAAGTAATAGTACAGGTACAGAAGGATTACTCCGCAAGACGATTTAAATAAATGCGAGTCTTGCTACGACGCGATACAGTGGAATTCAGCTCGCACAGCACTACGTACCTATAATTTTATTCACCTACAAGTTTTGTCTCTTTCTATCGCGTGCCTCTGAACTCTTCTTACACTGTTAGGGTTGCTGTCTAGTGAAAAAATAATTAATCTACTTATTTGTAATGAGGTACGTATGCAGTGGCGGATTAACGTATAAGCACTACAAGCACGTGCTTGGGGCCCCTGTTCTCCAGGGGCCTCCATCCTCTGCTGGCGCGCCAGTAGAGGATGAAGGCGTTTTCATTTCATACCTACATTTTATCGAGATTTAGCCTATGTTACTTGTAAGTAATGTAGCTTTCAAATAGTGAAAGAATTTTTAAAAACGGTCCAGTAGTTTTTGAGCCTATTCATTACAACCAAACAAACAAAGTTTTCCTCTTTATAATATTATATAGTGTAGATAAAGTAAAGTGCGTTTTCCCAAATATACAAGTGGCGTTTAAAGAAAGAAAGAAAGAAAAATTTATTACGATGAACATCACTTATACATGACAGAGAAAAAGACAGAAATGGCACATAAATATTACAAGGAAATAAAAAGTGAACTGAGCAGTGAGCAGTGCTATCCTGTCGCAACAGCGATGCCCATCGCAATGGGATTCCACTCAGCATATGCCGTGGCCCATGGTGGGGAAGGCCACGACGCTGGTTTTCAGTGGGCCCCATGCCGAGTGGAAGTCACGGACACTAACTTAAACTGCATATCAACAAGGCCGTTTAAATCCTACTAATCCTACTAATATTATAAATGCGAAAGTTTGGATGTTATGATGTCTGGATGTTTGGATGTCTGGATCTTCAGGCTCTTCCCGCAGTTTTACCAGATCGTCGGTCCACCTAGTAGGAGGCCTGCCCACGCTACGTCTTCCAGCCCGTGGGCAAATATATTTATTTTATTTGCGAAATAAAATAATACCCGTATTAAAATAATAATAATTGTGTATACAGGATGTCCCGTAATGCAACGTCAAGCCGGAACTGGGTGTTGAGGCAAGTTATGCTTTTTATCAGAAAAATATAAAAAACAATCTATGTGGCATTTTGTCAAAATAATAGGCATTTAAAAAAAAAACAAGAAAATTTACTCCCGGTGACGGTCTTTTTACTCGTGTTGCCACAAATCTTCACTTTTTCCAAAATTTTTTTTTGTTAAGTAACCCTGAATAATGCTTCTCTAAATTGTTATCAAAATTACGAAACCAGCTGCTCCAGCTTGGATGAAAAAAATTCATTATTCCCAAAAAATTCAAAATAAAAATTTTGCCTAGTTTAAACTGACTGTACTGAAAAAAAATTGTACTACGCGAGTATGGCAAGTGAAATCATAATTTGGCGCATTTAGTAAGGATTCCAAAATGGTATAACACTTAGTAAATTCTTGCTGTAATTGTCGACAATTTTTGTTTTTTTTGGAAATAATCCCGTTTTTAACTTTATCTACCTTGGTTAAAAAATATTATTCTAATGTGCACAAAATTCAAGTTTCTGGCTTAAGTGAGGTGGAGAAGCCATTTTAAAAGGTATGAGCGGAACGGAGAGGGCCATCTTACCAAGCAGGGATGTTATGGATATCCGTAACCGTAACCGATACTATCGGATATTCGAAATAAAAAAAATATCCATAACCGTAACCGAAACTGATTCAAAAGTTACGGATAGTTTCGGATAAAGGTGGAGTCTTAAGGGTACAATAAATTCCAAACAGAAGCATTATTCAGGGTTACATAACAAAAATAAATTTAGAAAAAGTGAAGATTTGTGGCAACACGAGTAAAAAGACCGTCACCGGGAGAAGATATTTTTGGCTTTTTTTAATGCCTATTATTTTGTCAAAATGACACATAGATTTTTTTTTATATTTTTTTGATAACCAGCATAACTTGCCTCAACACCCAGTTCCGGCTTGACGTTGCATTACGGGACACCCTGTATGTGTATATATTTATAAAAATAAACATGCGATGTGAAAAAAGAAGAGAAACAAAAGAAGTGTGCTAGTGTAAGATTAATATCATTGTGGTTGCGTTTAGAATCTTTCACAGCTTAATGATTACTAGGTAACTGCTTTGCTGAACGATCCTTCTCACAACTAAAAAGGTGAAAAAACCCGCAAAGAACAAAAATCCGTCTAGACAAGCTTAATTATTTAGCAATAATGTGTATTGAGGCAGACATACTTCGTCGGATAAATTTCGACGATGTAATCTCGGAGTTTGCTCTGATTAAGGCAAGGAAAATAATGTTTTAAGTTTTACATTTTACCTACTACACTTTCTATTTTGATGAACTTTCATTTTATACTTTATACCTTCCATTCCATTCCTTCCATTTCCATTTAAGCAATAGAGGGCCTACACAGGCTCTGTGCTTAAGGCCTCGGATACTCTTAATCCGCCACTGTACGTATGTAGGTAAGTACCTATGCATTCATTATGGAAAACCTTGGGAGAGGCCTTTGTCCAGCAGTGGACGTCATTTGGCTGAAACGAACGAACGAATTCTGAGCAGTAGTCATGGTAGGTTAGGTTCCTATACTATCCTAAGAATTATTGATTACCTACATGGCCAACATACCTTTCAGCATCTTTGGGAAGCGAAAAAAAAAGATAAATCCGGTAGATTTCTTTTCGAATTTTAACACCCGAACGCCGCACAATATTTCTTTCTCTTTATGTCCATTTTTAAATAATACTTCGATCATAGAATTATAATCATACTACAACGCACGCCAGCGTCCTGACGAGCGCGCGCGTGACACTCGACTGATATAATACCCGCCGGCGGGGCGCTTCGCTGTAGGTAATTATCGGATGTACCGCGCGGAGTGAGCCAGGCCTGCTGCTGGGTTGCACCATCTTATTTTAAATTTGACAAAAGTCAAATATCTGTCAAACTCCATACAAAAAAACACCGGTTATCGCCAAAGCTACGGTCAAAGTTAGGTCACGTCAGGTGGTGCAACTCAGCCAAAGAAAAAATTCATTTTGATCGCTAATGTCAGTTTGCAGCGAGTAACACAACCTCCCCGTCTGAAGGCCAGCGGCCGACTGCCGCCCGCACCCCGCGAAGGCCCCCTCAACAGCAAAACGTTCGGAATTTATCAAAAGTAAAATTTATGAATGAAAGTAATGTTCGATTGAAAAACGCAACGTGTCATTTAAAGATTAAAGAATTCTTAATCTATTCGTGCAAAAATCTTTAAAATTAACATAGCCGTTTGGGAGGAGTAGGGAATTGAAGTAAAAAATCGATGTCCCGTATTTATTTTTTTAATCCACAACAAAGAGACGTAGGAAAAATTCAAACGTGTCAAATGTAGTCCTTGAACTGTTGTATAACATATATTTTTTTCAACTATTTCTGTCCAGCAGTAAAAGAGGAGTAGGCTTTACAAAATGACCATTTTACGCGGATTGAGGACACTAATCGCCTTAATAGAAACACACCTCGTCTATAGGTCGGTAATAGAAACAACTGCTTTTTCAGATTAAATTGCTATTTATTAATTATTACGTGATTAAATACTCATTGTTACTACTTGAATTCAAAGATCACTTCATCATTGTTATAAATAAATTAAAGTTTCTTTTCTATCCCCACGTCTTATATCTAATTTTCTAACGTTTATCCGAAGTGAGCTTAAACTGGCGGTAATAGGCGCATTTACGTTACTTTTCATCATCAAGCAGCAGCCTAGAATCATTCATTTTTCAGTTTATTGTTTTCAATGAGATTCATCATTGCAAATATTTTCCACATAAAACTCAACACCTGTTTTCAGGCATGTTTTTACTGCAACATGAGGTCATTATATAGAATCAATAAAGTTGCGATATTTGAAGCAGACAATAAAGATTATCTTGTTTTCACCTCCAAATATGGAAGAATCTAGTCGTTAATGCACGCGCGTGATAACGCTCTTATCTGGTGGAGTGGCTCATATTCAACGCGAGATAGTTATAAGTCGAAATAAATCGCCTACTATGTATGCCAGAACAGGATTGGACTATAGTGTATGTAGACAACATAGCATCGATTTCTATTCGACTTGAAGATGTCTGGAAAAGATCGCTTCCTAAAAATGACAGGATACATTTTACCGTTCTAACTTTTGCATTAAATGATTGGTAGCATTTGTGTGGTGGTGGCATTGTATCTAATATTTAAGTACTCGTAATAGGCTTTTAAGCATACAAAAACGTTAAATGTTTGTGTGAGAACTTGCATATAAAAAACAGTAGGTACTAAATGTGTTTCATAAACACATTTATCTTCAGGAACCGCATATCTCCAAAATTTACATAACAAACATAACAGACATTTATTCTTTCAGAGTGGAAAATCTTACTAGACCAATATCAAAAAACTTTCGCATTTCCTGTAATTCAGATATAACATTGCTTGTTTCAGCGTATAAACACCACAGCAATTATTCCGAAATATTCATAATTCCAAGCCATTCTCTAAGTCCGGGTCTGCATTTCCCTATCTAATCACGATCACGTGGAGATCACTTACGAAAAGCGGCGCGCGGCCACGATGCCTGCGCGTGACGGAAAGTTTCGATGCGTGCGCGCAGCGTCACAGTATCATGGTGTGACGAGGAGCTAAAGGTCATTAAAAATAACTAAAGAAAATGGCTGACTGGTAGTACAACCCATCTGTAGGCGGCAAACAATAATGTTACTAACTACCTACTACTAAGTAGTTTTATGCGCGCGACTTCGTACGCATGAAAATCGTTTGAATATTTTTCCCATTTTCTCCTAATGCCTTCCTCGA